CACTTCTTCAGATGCCATCTGAAGAAGTGAGGTTCTTACCCACGAAAGCTTACGCTCCCAATACTTCTGTTAGTCTTAAAGGTGCCACAGGACCCTCTGTTGCTTAATAAAGGATTGTTTCTGGCTATCACATTGTTCAGGAAACTAATGAAAGATTTTCTGGATGGCTGTAACTAAATGCATTATGTATAGTTGCCCATTAAACAGTATCAGAGCCTTGGAACTGTAAATGAAGAAGCATTTTAACTTCAAAGCACGGGTCATTGTGTTCAACAAGGGAAAATCCACAAACTTTTTCTGCATTTAGTCAACAAAGGGAGAGCTCCTGCTGTGATGGGAACACTTGACAGACAGTTTCCAGGGAAAACAGCTAGAAAATGAACCCTGGGAGCAATACTGGATCTCTGAGCTGTTTGGACACTTTTGGTGTTCCTGATATAAGACAGACAGCCCCAAAGCTGTTTGGGTAACCCTGAGAGATGTATGGAAAACCGGCAGATTAGTACACCTCTGCTAATCATTTGGATTTACAAACTATGCTTCATCTGAAATGTATTTTATCTGTTTTAACCTCTCAATAACTCATTTATTTTTCTTAGCTAACAAACCATTAGTTAAAAGAACGAGGAATACTTGTGGCACCTTAGAGACTAACAAATTTATTTGAGCATAAGCTTTTGTTAGTTTAGTTAGTTTAATAGATAAATTGGCTGCCAGCGTTGTTGTTGTCTTTGGTGTAAAATGAAGAGCATCTGTTGACCTGGCATAAGTGATTGGCCCTTTGGTGTCAGGAGTGACCTAATGTGATTTTTTATTTTAATAACCTTTCATCACAAAGTCCAGTTTGTCTGGATGGTAAAGAGGGGGTGGAGAGTATAAAGGGACTGTCTGTGGCTCCATGGTAAGAGTAAAATTGTAATCCAGGAGTGCATGCTTCTTACTGGTTTGGTGGAGTCTAGTTATAGAATATGCCACCAGTTTGGGGGGTCTGTCGTATTTTTTGACAGTCTGACCTGAGATTGGCTCTCTCAGTTGTGAGCTACCCAAGACACTGTGACAGCATGTACATAGATAAGGCCTGTAAGAGATTTTTGTAGGGAAATATAACAGATTATCTTGGATTTTAATCACATGTAATTCTGTTTATTTTGGAGAATTAAAAGCAATTTTCTACTTGTGGGGTACTCACTTTCCCTTTTAATGAGATCAACTAAGAGATCCCCAAAAATCTTGGAACCCCTCTGTTATTTAAATGAGGCTTGTTTTTCCTTCAGAGAGCAATGATGGTCCAACTGCAATGACAAAAGGCTAAAATATCTGTAAAACACAATCTATTTTATAGTGACAAAAAAGTTAAACATTTGGGGTGAAATTCACCCCTAGACAGAGGGCCAGCAAAATGCCTATGCAGCACTTAAGTCTATTTTAAGCCATATTTTGAGGACTTCAGTGCAACTTCAGTTTTTCATAGTACTTGTTCCAGTCCTCTGTATGCAAGAAAATGTCACCCACTAAGAATAAAAATAGACTTGCACTATCAAACCTCAAAATAGGTGATTTCTCATTCATAAAAATAGACAAGGAAGATACTGATCTTTCACATATGTAACATACAAATGTAGGTAAAAGTACCTGAAATGTAAGTAAAAGATAACATGAAAAAGGGTCCAAACTGGAATCCAAATAATTACAGGTCAAAGGATAAGTAGTCAGCTGGAGATGACTGTATTGGTTAACAAAGTACCTTTATCTTGCTTCCTCTGCTGACCTGGTACCTTTTTATTCTTTCAGGCCATCCTCTTTCTGCAAGAGAAAGGGAAAAAAGGTCTCAAGGGGTTATTAGAGGTTTATTCGCCATGATCAGTTGTATTGTATGATGTGCTATGGCACTGGTCATATAGTAAAGAGCATGCTATGGTCATGAGCATTAGCATTTGAATACAGAGGTTTGGGCACATTTGCTGAAGTTGTGGACCCTCCTCTTGGACTACAAACAAAGACTCTCACTTACTAGTCTTTTAAAGCCATCTAGAACTATTAGGAGGGCCTCCACTATATCAAACCAACTTCCGCTGTGTTCTGAATACACAGACCTATTCTCGTAACTTGGAATCAATGTCTTATCCATTTTTCTGCACATGTGAGGCTATCTCCTCCTTGCGGACACTATCAGTAGTTGTCAGGTGAAGAAAATCTTGCCTACTTCACAGGAGTATTTCTAAGCCTAGATGGGGAAAATGAGGCATGCAGAGGTCAGGTGATTTCTCTATCATCACACAGGTAGTTTCTGGAAGAACTAGGAATAAAATCCTAGGGATAGCGTCCAGACTCTGCTGTGGGCCCTTTATGCTATTCCAACAGTATAAGGGAGCTGTAAAGGGGTCACAACAGCCTTCTAGGAGGATATACTCAGAGGGCAGGGGAAACATAAGTAGTATAAGGGCCCTACCGTCAATCAAACACTAACCCCTCCCATTGACCCCTTAAGCCCCGCCACTTGACCCCTTGGTCCCTCCCACCTGTCACAGGAAATCCCGCCCCATGGGGGTATTACTTCCGGGGTAAAGGTGCCACCTGACTGGAAGCAAGGTGTGTCATGTGACCCCTATAAGAACTCCCCCCACCACCCTCTACCAATCAGGAGGGGTTTTGTCCAACAGGACCGCCCCGAGAGGAGTTTTTGATTAATCAGGGTGACTTCCGGGTTGGAGTGACCTCTCTGGAAGTGAGTTGTGTGACCCCACTAAGAACTCCTCCCAAGGCCCTCTGCCAATCAGAGTGCAGCACCATTACCCCATAAGTCCCAGCACCAGACAAAGGATGCGGTCATCTCTTACTAAGGACACGTGTTTTTGAAATCGCGGAAAGGCTGCTGAGAGGAAACATGGACTCCTTGACCACCCCCGTGAGAACTTCAGACTTTGTTTTAGCCCCAAGCACCTTTGGACTTGTGTGGAGAAAGCGCTACATCAGTGACAGTTCTGAGGAGGAGGAGGGAGCGACCGAGGGGAGCCCTTTGGCCCAGCTGTTGCTGGCTACACCGGAACCCGACCCCAAAACCCTCGTGAGACAGCCCAATGAGCATGGCGGTTTCTCTTTGTCCACCCCCTCAGAGGTGGAAGGTGATTGCGGCTTGGGGGAGTCACCGGCGGACAAGGCGAACGGAAAAGACGGTGCTCAGGTAAATGAATGATTAAGAAGCAGCGGTCGAGGAGGGGTGGGTAATGGGTTAGGAACCGGGGGCTGTATAAATTAAAAAACAAACAGTGGGGGTGCTTACACGTTTTCTTTTCTGAAAATTTCTCAACAGCTCGACAATGCCTTTCTAGAGGACCCAGAGGCCCTGGACAGCGTTGCATCAAGCAGCAAAGATGAACCGGCCCCACCATGTTTTTGCTCAACGCCGATACAAGTTGCTGAAGAGGACTCTGAGGATAATGGCTATGAGGAGTTTAGAAGGCGGCTCGACATAGAACTAACTGAGCCAGTGCCACGTCGTGAGCGTAAAAAAGTCATGTGGACTATTGTACGTGTTGCTGTTTATGCTATCCTTAAACACTGCCTTACGGAAAAGCTTTTTGAAGATTGTGAGGACTGTGTCATAGATGCGCCAGGTCAAAGGCACCATGACTGTGTGACTTGGACTTCAGTGGATATAAACTGCAAGCTCTGGGGCCTGTGTGCTGAGCTGTGTTTGGAAAGCTTATTATACACTGTTATTGCCATAGATTATGGTATGTAATGTCTGTGCCTAACCCAAGAACATTTAGCGCAAGGGGTGACCTTGATAAATACTGTGCAATTCAGTGTAAACCCTGACCGTGTTCTAAAGAAAATGACGAAACCGGAAGATGCCTGCTTACAGCGTTATATTGACCGTCTAGTCCGCACAAAGAGTTACAGAACCCTGCTTAAGAA